ACACACACACGCACACATACACATACACACAGAGCACTGAGGGGGGCAAAATGGCTGCAGTCATAGGCCAGATCATTCAGGATGTGACGTCAGGGTGACAGGATGGTCACTGTTCTGAGATTGGGCACAAAGGGGGGAAAAACGTGGACCGTCTGGGGATCTCCAACGACCGGGTTGAGAAACACTGTCAGATATAGAGTGACGTTTATAGAGTGACGTTTACCTTCTGCTGTGCTTAAAGAAAAACAGCTGTGAATTAATCCAGAGATTATGTTGTGGACCGGCTGTGAAGTGGCTACTGCAGCAGCACAGTGCAGGAGACCAGCAGAAAACCATATACTGTAATCCTGAGGACCTCCGGAGTGCGAGAACCAGCAGAAAATCATATTGTATGCAGCATGTGAATCAAGGGGCTAACAGAGACCCAGCATGATGCATGAACCAGAAATGAAGACAAGTCGCGGCATGATCCCTGGTGGCACTTACCGAGAGGCTGTCCGGCCACCACTCGGCTGTTCTCCCCCAGGACGGCGGCCCTGGCGTTCCTCTCGCTCATGTACTGCACGAAGGCAAAGCCCTTGTGCACAGAGCAGCCTACGATCTTGCCGTATTTCGCAAAGATCACCTCGATGTCGGCCTTCTTCACGATGGCTGTGTTGAGGTTGCCGATGAAGACTCTGGAGTTGAGTGACCTCGGGTCATTTTTGTTGGTCACGTTGCTGGTCTGGCTCTTCCCCGTCATCGTCGCCCGGGCGCGGTCCTGAAGAGCAGAGGGGACAGCGGCGTTGAGGTTCTTAGCAAGACGGCGACCCTCCGACCTTCTAACAGTTAACTTCGCGGCAGAAACATCTCCGAATAACCTTCTGAATGACAACACGGTGCAGCCGAGTTCTTCCCATTTCATTATCTCGGTCAGGTTTAAGTTGTTTTTCATAAATACATATCGCTGTTTATGAACAGGAAGCCTCTTTTGAAGTGTTATCAAGATGTCTTTTGAAGGCCTAGTCAAACACTGACAGAAACTTCTGCCCACTGAAAACAAATAGAGTCAAAACGCTTTTCATGTGATGGAAAAAAAAAACGCAGGTAAAAGTACAAAGCGGCGCAGGAGATGTTTATTCTTCAAAAAAGACGATATAATTACAGAACTCTAAGGCCTGGAATGAGGAGGGAAATGCAGGAGAATGGAAGAGGCATGAATAGACACTAAATGTAATTTTTTAACAAATTCCGACTCAAAGTCCTCCAGGTTGGTTTTAAGCCCTGAAGTGTGAGGACGGTGCCCCTTGCTGTGCTTGGAGAGTGTGGGTGTGAAGTCCTTCCTGGCCTGGAACTCCGGTTTCCACATCCAGCTGTGTGATGCAGGGCAGAGGCGGCTCTCTTCAGGCTGTTTACTGGGATTTCTCTCTGTGAATCTGCATGAAAACGCAGTTCACTCTGTAACTTTACTATCTTATGATCTTTCCAGTTCATTGTACAGCATGTCTACGGGGAGAATCTCTTTAATGCAGTACATTTTCTCCTCAACAGGATGCAGTATGTACAGAACTGCCTGTTTACTCACGCATAGGAGCATCCAACCACATCGGTAACCTGTCATTTATAGAATCAAGTAATAAATTTTACTCATTACTTACAAAGCTCTCCACGGACGTGCTACCCAATATCGGTCTGACCTTCTTCCCTACACTCCAGCTCGCGCATTAAGATCATCGAGGTCCAACCATCGGACTGTCCCTAAATTCAGACTATCCTCTATGACACGGCCTTCTGTGTGGCAAAACCTACTCTCCTCCTCACACTTCCTCACATCCTGTGAGAGGTACAGTCTCTTAATGTTTCCAAGCATCAGTTGAACACTCATTTATTTCAGGAATTCTATAATGTATCTATCGGTACGTAATATTCTGTGTTGTTGCTGCTTTATTGTATTATTGTTTGCATTGCAAAATGTCCTTGAGTGTGAGAAAGGCGCTATATAAATAAAACTTTATAATAATAATAACAATTATTATCATTATTATTATTATTAATAATAATAATAATAATAATCAGACTTCAAAGATGGGAGATGGTAGGCATCAGACCAGCATCCAGCTATGACAGAGCTATCAAGCCAGTCATGAATCCATCCAGGCAAACTCTGCAATGGGCCTGATGCTGTGGAAAGGTACTGGGTCAGTTTACTGGGCCTGATGTTGTGCAAAGGTACTGGGTCAGTGTACTGCGCCTGATGCCGTGTAAAGATACCGCTTCAGTGTATCATCATTCCAAGACATTAAGAGTCATCCTCTGCGATTTTCCCATAACGGCGGATAAAAAAAATCAAAACAGTTATTCTAATGATGTGAATTAAACATCACCTCTACGGTGTAATTTTAATGGTGAGGTCAACTCTCTCTATCCGGGATTGTTCTAGTGGGTTATACACCCCCCCCCCCCCCCCCACAGTAGAAACTCATATATAATGCAAGGCGATCTAGCACATGTGGAAACGGACAGAACACACAGCAGCTCGCGACGGGCCGCACACACCTGGCAGCTGCTGTAATCACGCCCCCCCTCCTCCACCAATCCCGTGTCCTGAGCGCTTTTCACAAAACGCTCAAATTAACTGCTCAGCTCAATTGAGCAAATTACCCCCGAAGCTCCATTCTGAAGCTCTGAAAAGGTTTATTGGGAGACGGCAAACATTAGTGAGGCAGCGACGGACTCGTTTTGCTATGACGGAGCTTGTACGTGCCACATCTAACCAAATATTGTCCTCTGAGCCACGTGACACCCCCCCCCCCCCCCCGAAACGCAGCATCACATACGCCTGACATCTCCTGCAGAGGGAGGGGGTGAGGAGAGCAAAGGGGGTTTGATTGGTCAAGGGAGAGTGTGACAGCTACGTGGCCCCGCCCCCAGCTCACCCGACACGCCCACTAAACAAGGCTGACATTCAGGGTCGCCAATACTGAAATAAAGCTAAAAAAAACCCGATTCTAGTAATAAACACATTAGTTCATCGATAGATGGACGTAACATTAGCAGAGAGGCGATGCCGGTTTGCAGGCAGCTCCCACGCTGACCTGTTCTCCACCCATTAACTTGGGAAACGGCCCAGTGCTTAAATGAAACAGCAGAGCGAGGGGCCAACGGCGGCGGCAGGAACCAATAATGAGGGAGGGCCTGTGTGCCATTCCCCCAGGGGCACGGAACTGTCACATCCCGGAAAAAACGCAATAAATTGGAGGGAAACAAGGGCACATTCCGACCTTGGTCCTGAACGCACCCCCCCCATCGCAAAACAGTCCCTAAGCAGGATGCTTGATTGATAAATCACTCAGAATAAGGACATTTGGGCCAAAGGCACACTGCCCTTCATAGTTAGCACAGCAGAGCAGTTTAAAATCGGTAGGTGCTCTCCCTGATTTGATTAAAGTAATATTGCAGTTTTTGTTGACACCTAAATCCATTCCACTGCTCAGTAAGCAAGGCTACTACCTAATCAATACTCGTAGTCGTCAGGATAATCAATGCTAAACAATGTTAAAGCACTCCCTTTGTTGAGTAAGTCGATTTAGGAAACAGGCACACATCATGTACCTGTTATTAAGTACCTGCTATTATGTACCTGATTCATGACATGTATTCATTGTTTTTTATTGATTTTGGGGGACATATGTGCAAATAACTGGGAAGGTGGTGGAGAGTCAGTGTTGCATAGCAATAGTTTAGAGTCACATTGATTCACATCAAGGAGAGTCACACCACATAGAATCACAAGAGACGAAAAGTTCAGGTTCAGAGAATAAAAATCCATACCAGGATTTTGGTTCAACCAACCAGGTGTGTATAAAGAGTCACAGTCACAGAGTACTCAACTGGTTGGTTCAACCAAAATCTTGGTCTGGATTTTTACTTTTTGGACTATCCCCCTCTAAGAATCACACAGCGCAGAGTCAGACCATGTCGATTCACACAGAGCACAGTCAGACCAGAGAGTCAGACAGTCTCACTGCAGCCCTGGAGAGCAGGTCAATTAACACCTGTCACGGTGTTTCTCAGATACGACTAGACCAGAGCGACAGGATGAAGTCTGAAACAGAAAACAAATGAATCTCAGTTCTCTTCTCTGCACATCATTCATTTTATAAATGGCTCCTTCAGGCACGGAGTGCAGCGCAGGCTGAGCAGTGCTGAGATTAACCCTTCGGTGTCCATCTCTGTGGGGTCAGCGACTTCCTGGTAGCAAGCAGGCCCACATCGCTCCCCCCCATTAAATTGAGGAGGAGAGGATAGGACAGAGA